AGTAGGTTGGAGGATGGGCTTAATAGGTCATTGGGATAAGAAGGGGGGAAATGGTGGGGGAAAGGGAGAGAGGCAAACCATGAGAGACTCTTGAATGCTGACAAAAACTGAGGACTGATGGATGTGGGGGGGAGGGGGGGATGGGCATGGAGGAGGGCACTTGTGGGGATGAGCACTGGGTGTTATGTGGAAAATAATTTGACAATAAACTATTTGTAAAAAAAAAAATAAAAAAAAATAAAATAAACACTTACATACAACATCCGGTACTCATCACAAGTACATTTCTTTATCCCAATGACCTATTAAGGTAACTGTTAATTTCAAAATTAACAAAAAGTTAACAAAAATGCACAAAATTTCATGTCTACCCAAGACTAGTATGAGAATGTTCAAAGTAGCCTTATCCATAAAAGTTAAAAAGTAGAAAACAAAATATGGTCTATTTGTATAATGAAATATTATCAACAGAAAAGAATGAAGGACTAATGAATCTTAAAACATTTTCTGAGGGGCACCTGGCTGGCTTAGTCAGAGGAGTGTGCAACTCTTGATCTCAAGGTTGTGAGTTTAAACCCTGAGCTGGGTGTAGAGATCACTTAGATAAATAAAACTTTAAATAAATAAATAAATAGATAGATAAATAGATAAATAAATAAATAAATAAAAATTATTCCTGAGGAAAAAAGCCAAAGACAAAAGATTCCATAGTATATGAGTCTATTTATATGAATGAACTATAAGAGGAAAATTTATAAAGACAGAAAGTAGGTTGGTGGATGTCTGGGCTGGGCAGGGGGTGAGAATAGGAGTGACTGCAAGAGATCACTTTCAGGTGATGGAAATGTTCAAAACCTACATTATGATAATAGTTACATGATTCTTTAAATTTGCTAAAAACCATTAAATTGTATATTTCAGTGAAACTGTTATTACCAAAAAAAGAAAAAAGAAGAAGACATTCATTACATAAAATTCAAACATCACAAAAATGTGTTACACAGAAAATGACAGGGAGTCCCCCCTTCATTCCATCCAACCATTGTTTAGTGTATGTTCTTTTTGGAATTTTCTATGCACATCATTATATCTATAATACATATACATATAATACATAAATATGTATTATAGATGTATGTTTTCATTTTACATACACACACAATGCCACCATACTCTGCATAAAATGTTGTAAATGACTTTCCTTGCTTGGCAAAATATCTTGAAAAATATGAAAGGATTTCATTTATGTATGTATGTATGTATGTATGTATGTATGTATTTAATATAGGACTCAATCTCAGACCATGAGATCATGACCTGAGCTGAAATCCAATGATGCTTAACTGACTGAGCCACCCCAACACCCCAAAGGAAGAATTTCCAATGATTAAAGTAATAGGTTTATCTTTGTGTTTAGGATATTAATCAAGAGTGGAGATCCTGAAGGTGGGCACCAATGGGGAGGCCGCTATAATAGTCACAGGCAGTAAGTGAGGAGGCCCGTGTCTGTGTGGCTGTTGGGCCCGCCCTTGACCTCCCAGTCACCCCCAACATGTAGGGGTGCATCCTACTCACACTCTGGGAGAGATCCATGGTGTTCCCTGCATTGCTGTAGTGCTCCACCTTCAGAGCCACCACCTTCCCGGTCTTCATGAAGCCAACCTGACAAAAACGAGGGTGATTTCTCAATAGTCCCCTTCCTCTGCCTATCCCTAATCATCCCCTCCCACTTATGCTACTGAGCAGAAGGAAAGAGAACAAGACATCACACCATAAAAACAAGGTCACCAGAGCTTACCATGTTGAGCAGAGAGGAAGCTAACATCTCTCCAGTGATGTTCCATGGGTCCTGGACCTGGTACACACCTCCTCCCCATGCTCCCCCTTCCTTCTACCTACACTGCCTCTGGTTCTATGAGAGGGACTGAGGGGGCAGAGAGGGGAAAGCTGGGAAGAGAAACAGAGAGACACCAGACAGGCGCCCCACACCTTTTGACCAGCAAGCCAGAACAAACAGGAATGTGCTTTCATATCCCTGACCTTACATAGCCATGAGAAAAATTTTACAGTCCATTTCATAAGTGAGGACCTGGGACCTTCTTCGGGACCACAGGATTTTGGGAATAAGGGAAATATCATGCCTTTGGGGAAGTTCAACCATGAAACAAAATGACAAGAGGCCAAAGGGGAATGTTCAAAACCAGATCATGGAGAGAAAGGGCTCCTTGACTGGAATCGGTCAGGTTATACTGGTGTTTAGAGGGACGGGATGCATGGTCATCCACAGACGCTCAGAAAAGGGACTGCTACATATGGAGCAGGTCCTCTCCCTAACAACCTGGCACTTTTATTTCTCACTGTAAATTACTGAGTAGTCATTCTGGTTTTTATATCAGGCTGTGAACATATTGACATTAAGTCATTCTGCAGGATGGATTTACCCCAGGGCTGCTGAAAAATCATACTTCTGAGCCTGAGTGGAGAAAAACTTGATATGGGACAGAGAAAATTCACGAAAGGCGTAAACACCACATTGCACCCTCACTTGGGAGGTGGCCACCAGCTTCCCCCCTATATGTTGCTGTTGGCCAATTGAAATTTTTCTCATTGCTATTTCTTCTTTGAACTTCTACAGGTAGTCATGGAAAATGTTAAGAGTACATCCCAGGATAGCTGGGATCTCTAGGTTTCCCAGTGAGATGGCACTTCCCCTCCTGCCCCCAGCATAGCTCCCGACATATAGAACCTTGTATCTGGCTAAGAAGGGGTGTCTGCCACCAGTTATCAGCATGTCCTCATCACGATCCAGCATGCAGCGCACAGGGCGACCAGTCCTAAAGGGAAACATCAGAGGGTTAGAACACTGGGAGCCTCTGCAACAGCCCCATCCTTGGGTTTCAGGGATGAAAACAGCCTAGAGACTTCTTTTTCCACGTGGCACCCAAGCAGACCTGGGGCAGGGCTGCTTTGCTGTCTAGTTACTGTGCTGGACACATGGGGAATATGAGGATATGATGTATGCCCTTGCCTTTAAAGCCCTCACAGCCAGCCAGGGGAGACAAAACATGGACCCATGCATCAAACACAAAGAAACAGGTGGTGTTACCCTCCCCCAGATGCCCAAGAGTCCTAAAAACAGAAGGCTATGAAAATTCAGAGTAAGGGGAATCTACTTCTAAAAGAGAAAAATCCAGAAAGCCTTCCTGGCAGAGTCCACCTTAGTCTCCTTCCCTGAACTGGCTAGGAAGACTCACTTGTACGCAGCCAGGGCCACTGCCGTGGACACCACAGTGCTCCGCGTCTCTTTCCCTCCAAAGCCCCCTCCCATTCTCTTCACCCGGACCAAAATCCGGTTTGCTGGAACCCCCAACATGTTTGCAACAAAGCTCTGTGGACAAAAGAAAAATTTCTTTCACTGAACACATCATCTGGACTTACTTCAGCCTCACCTAGAGCCTGCCCACCATCCACAAGGCTAATTACTGCTGTGAATTCTGAAATTCCTTGATTCCAGAATCCCCCTTCACCTCCCCAGACAGCCCTTGAGCTCCAGGTGCTGGAGTCAAACACTCATTAGTCACTGCAGACTGAATTCAGACACTTGTTTCTAACCAATGAGGTGAGCAGCTGGCCACAGCAGACTTTCAGAGCCAAAGTTCATTCCATTTAGCCAGGAATGGGTGAGTTGTGGGCACTGGACCAGCTGCCAAAACTGCCAGCCACCACTGTCACCTTACCAGCAATAGAGAAATGAAGAATATTTGAGCTGCCACAGATAATTTAGCATTATGTGTGGCTCTCACTAAATGCATTGTCCATGCTTTACTGATGAGGAGACTGAGATCGGCTATGATTTGACCAAGGGCATATCTCACTGGAATAATAAAAGCCAACACTTATTAGGCACTACTATGGTAGTAAACATCTAATCATAACAACACCCTATCGAGCCAATTTTATGGATGAGGACACCAAGAAAGGTTCCATAACAACTCAGTGACATCGACTTATTGGTTGACAGGGTCTGGCTAAGGACCCCTAACCTCAAATCCCCTACTGGACCAGCCGGGATCTCCCTCTTCCCATGTCCCATATCACCAACTCCTAGTCTTCCAGATGCTCCCCAGTGCCCTCTCCAGGCCCTGGAGCTGACTCCCCAGGACACCTACCTGGGTCTTCATGGTGTTCTGTGTAGACACAAAGAGCTCCATCTCCCCTGCCTCGCCTTTGGGGACAGCGATGGTGCAATGAGTCTCCAGGTAGAAGTGCTCCTGGCCACCAATGTACAACTCGCCTGAGGAGGCAATGCGACCCCCATGGTGATCTGGAGTTTCCTTAAGGAGAGCACACTTGCCCAGGGCCCCGGGCAGGAACCAGCTGCTCACAGGCAGGTATGCTCCAGGTTCCCAGCATGGGTGAAAAGGCTCTCAGAGTCTTAGCCACCCAGGGGACCCAAAGCCCCACCCCAACAAAGAAACCAGAATGATGCCAAAATGCATCAGGGACAATGCTTTCTTTAACTTTCCAGCCAGTGGAAATTAAAGACTTTCAAAATTGGGAGAAAGGTAAAGAAGGAATAAACAGATGTAACTGAAAAGCTAAAAATGAGAGGATCTTCTGGAATGGAAGGTATCAGGCCAGTTGGAGAGTTGGCTCACCAGTGATTTAACAATACAAGATGGACAGTGTAGGAAACAATTCCCAAAGGGGTGTGGCAAGCAGACAGGTACCCTGCAGGCCCACAGAGAGGGTCAGGACCTGCAGCCACTAATTCTCTCAGTGGTCTTCCAAATTCAACACACTCCCAGCTCCCCAGAACCATGTAGGCATATGTAGCCTAGAGACAGGAGGTGGAGATTAAGATGGCAGAGGGTCTAGGGGTGCCTGGGTGGCTCAGTTGGTTAAGCGACTGACTTGAGCTCAGATCATGATATCCTGGTCAATGAGGTCTGTGCTATTAGCGCAGGCCTGGAACCTGCTTCTGATTCTATGTCTCCCTCTATCTCTGCCTCTCCTCCACTTGTGTTCTCTCTCTCTCTCTCTCTCTCTCCCTTCCTATCTCTCTCTCTCTCTCAAAAATAAATAAAAAATTTAAAAAAACTTTTTTAAAAGATGGAGAGTCTTTTCTCGTCACCTGTCTACTATTTTGCTACAAACACTGGGTGGACTCTTCTTTTAAAA